CAGCTGCTACTCGAGGCAACACAGAATAAAATAATTAATTATGGGGACAAAGAGACAAGAAACTCTTCCTGTGTCACGCTTTGCATGCACCTAGGTCAGAAGGGCACAGGCAGCATAACTTGGGAGATGGAGGAACTTTCATCACAGCCCCCTGACCTCTGCAGTGCTATTCAACATGAAAAGGAAACGCTTCCAAATATCCATATTGGCATCCTACAGGAACTCCCTCGCTCTCATGTTTGGAGGGCTTCCTATCTGGGGTACATCCAATCAACCCAATCCTCCTTCCCCACACAAAATAAAACCACAAAATACTGGTACTAGAATTGTAAAACTCTTATGAACTCCAGGGAGGGGGTATGTTACGTGCTCCCACATAACTCAGTTTCTGAAATGGAGAACTGATACTCTCACATGACTTTCAGAGCTGGGGCTTCAAGAAAACCAACAAATATTGAAAGAATTAGCTGTACCTCATCCTACTCTAGATCAGCACGTGGAGGTCCTTGCCAAGACACAGATCAGACAGAAGGACAGCCAGCAAAATACTTGAAATGGGGTAGGCAGAATTTTATGAGTAACACTGAGGCCGCTTACAGCACAACAAGCTTCATTGCAGAGGTTTTGACAAGCCTAGCCTTTACAGCCTTTAAGTAATGTGAAAATTGCCCACATTGTTTTTTAATGTTTCTCAGAGTTGCCTGGTTAAATAATCTCTTTTTTTAAGCTGCTGTCAGCTTCTGAGTCAAAAGTGACACAAGTTCTGCTGTGAACAATGGATTCTGGTCTGCAGGCTCAGTCTGATCTTTGAGCTGACAGTCTACATTCAGACCCAGAGAGCAGTTTCCAGTGCTTGGATACAATTACAGAAGTAAAACACCGCTCATCCCACACATCACTCCTTGCCTAGGACTGCACCTCCTCTCCAACACAGATGACTTGATTTGCACAAGCACCTTGAACCAGGCTGCTGCTAAAGTGGGTACTCAGGATGACCAGTCTCCTGGGAAGCTTACAGGATCGCCCTCCCTGGGAGAGGTAATGGGTGGCACACGCAGTTCAGCAAACTTGGGACATCGTACCAGAGAGGCTCTGCTCCCTCACATGCTCAGGATCAGTCCGGTCCAGGTCTTACCCAACAGAGAACACTATAGCCATTGCCACCTACTTTTAAAATAGTTTATTTCTGGTCTTAAAATATACATCAGTTTGAAAATTTCAGAAAAAAACACATTAGTTACAGATTAACAGTCTGGAGTTGGGATACTGAAAGTGGGGTCAGCTCAAGGCCCCAGAGCCAATACTGCTGGAGGTGAGCAGGAGGGCAGAGGGCAGGCACTGTGCCCGCCGGGAGAGGGTTCTGCTCCTCTTGAGGCCACCACTCCCCCTCCACCTCTGCCAGCAGCCTAATGCTAAGAAGCAGAAGTGTCTGGTGACGCATCGGGCACCCCTTTGCCACCCCTCCGTTTCTCCACTGTTTTGGTTTTAAGTCTACCTTGACCAAAAGCAGAGGGAGGCTGGCTCTGCCCAGCACCATCAGCACCAGCTGCTTCAGCAAGAGTGGGTTTTGTTCTCTGACCAGCATGCTAGGATTCGGGGGAGACGGGGCTGAGCCCTGAGGGGTAATGCCTCCCCCACTGCCCAAGTGGCTGTGCTGTCCCACAGGCACGCCACCAGCAGCCTCAGAGCCAAAGGAGCTCACTCAGTGAGCATCCAACACCACGTGATGTCCGTGAGGCAGGAGGCGGCAGCCGCTGCAGGTGCAAGCCCTCAGCAACACTGCAGAAGAACAGAAGAAATGCAGCAGTGGAGTAGCTGATGAGAGCAAACGCAAGGACCCCACCACCATGTTCAGGACAGGGGAGATGAACACCCTGCAGGCTCAGAGGAGGCTCCCACTCTCAGCACCAGCCTGTTTGCACAGGTATAAAGTGAAATACTGTAGTGAAATACTGAGTCCCACCTCCCCGCCAGAGAGTGGTATCCAGCTCCACAACTGTTCAAGGTGGGAAACAAGGCGAGCATGTAGGCAGCAGCTCTAGCCAGGATACACAAACCAACCTACACAGCTGCCAGAGAGGCCTGCAGCTCCCTTTCACAGACCCTGGAGCCTCCAGGCTCAAGCTGAAGCCCTGGCTGGCCCTTTGCAGAGACAGGGGTTTGGGGAGGGGAGCAGGGCCCCCAGGCAGCTCTTGGCTGCACATCTTGCTATAAGCATATGAACAAGAGCTCCCTCCTGGACAGAGAGCTGTTCTCCTACAGCCCGGTGAAGAGCCCTCATTGAGTAGGGTGGGAGGACAACACAAACCCAACTCAAAAACCAGACAGCAGGCTGAGGAGAGCCAGCAGGGCTTGAGGGGGGCATGGTGCAGGGAACCAGGCTATTCTCTGCCTCACACCCCCGAGGGAGTCAAGAAACACCAGACATACAAGGGCACAGGACAAAATTAAAACAGGACGCCTGGGCGTCAAAAAAATATCTACATCTACAGACCTCTCCCCTTCCCTCCCCCCCAACAAGACACCGAGCACACAAGACTGAGAAGAAAAGTCACACGGTATCACGCTACACTAGGAAAAACAAGCAGAGAAGGCCTACCCAGAAGGGGAGGTCCCGGAGAGGCGCCAGAGCCAGCCTGGAGCCCCCCGGAGAAGCGGGCGTGCGAGGAGACCCTGGCAAAGGGCTGCTGCCGAGCAGTGAGGTAGTGTGTCTACAGGGAGCAGCTCCTCAGCACGCTGCCCTCGCATCCCTGCCGGCCCTGCACGGAGCCCTGCCTAGAAAAGCCCAGTAGTGTCCGTCGCACCTTGCTCGCCCAGGGCAAGACCTTTTTCTCGAATCTGGAGGGGTTTCTGCAGGCTGGAGGCCAGGATCAGAGGCAAGCGCAGCTCTGAGAGCTGAGCCTCTTCAACACACCCTCAATGCAGGCATCGGACCGGCTGCCAACAGCTGTGTCTGTTTTTGCAGGGCGGGGAGAAAGAAAAAACAATACACCCCAAAACCAAAGGCTTGGAAAGAAGAAAGAAGCCCACCCAAGAGCAAAGCATCAGCACCGTTCAAACAAAACAACAGCACAGAGAGCGGGGGAAGAGGTGTGACGGAGGAGACACACAAACACAAACCCCAGCGCCTAGCAGGCAGTGCCTCCCCAAACCACCTCAGCAGACAGCACCCATGCCCCATGCCACAGCACCGGCATCCGTGCGTTGCCTCAGCGGGGGCCAGGTGCTGAGCCCAACGCAGGAGCCAAGTGATGGGGACCTGCAGAGGCAGATTCTGGAGAACCACCCAGAGGGCAGCCGGGGAAAACAAAACCCAGCAGAAAAAATGAGACACCAGCAATCCCAGCACATCCCCAGGGGCCCATAGCCATCCGCTGGGAGAGTCCTCGTGCCCCATTCATGGCCCCTGTGGGCTCCCAGGAATCAGACACCACCATGCAGGCACTCTTCCCTGTTGGCACAAGTTAAAAGAGAGCAAAGCAGCTGCGGGCAACCAGCATGAGAGCGCCCAGGGCCTCAGGTACCTGAGTGGGAAGGGGGAAGGAAGATGCGAGCATAAAGAGGCACAGGCACCAGGACGAGGGGTACCAAGAACGAGCTCTGGTACAGGCACCAGTGTGAGGCTGTGAAGAGAGCTGTGAGTGTGCTGGGGCAGTGGGTGCGCTTCTGCACACTGTGTGTGCTAGTACTGTGGGTCTGAGGTGCCAGGGAAGGGGGACCCCAGCTCTTCCAGGTAGCAAAAGAAGATAATAAATATAAAATTTCAGAGCAGAGCCCCCCCAGGAGGAGGGTACTAAGGGAGGTTTCTCCCTCAGAAGGTGGACAGATGGAGGCATCCCACAGCTCTGCAGCGTGTGGCTGCTTCTTGCCCTGCCTCAGCTGAGAAGGTTGCCCTGCTCCTGGGCTTGCGTCAGACTGTCCTTGCGATGTAAGTGGTGGACCCCCATCCTCTTGGGGCTGCGGTGCGGCCGACCGAAGGGAGGCTTGACCCTGCCTTCTCCACTTTCCTCTTGGGCACCTCCTTGGTTGCTCTCCTTGCTTCCCTGGAGCAACATTTCTCTCTCCTCAGCTGGGCTCTCAGGCAAGCCAAGATCCACATAGTCCTTGTGCTTCTCTGGTGAGGGGCTTCCAGGCTCAGCAGTGCCTCCACTGGTTTCTTGCAACAGCTTCTGGGCTTCATCCTGGGAGAAATCTGTACCATAGTCTGAGGAGAAATGGCTCCTGCGGGCTCTGGACTCGGTGCTGTCTGTGTCCATGCTTGAGTCCCGGCTCACGGTCCAGCTGCAGCTCTGCGCAGACTCCTCACCATCCGAGTAAGCTGAGGCTGCCCTACCCAGCTCCTGCATGGAGCGGCTGAACCTCTTCTGGAGCTCAGGGGCCGTGTCACGGCTGAAGGCCGTGCGGTTCATCAGCACCCGCTCTGAGGTGGGGGGTGCCTTGTCCACAAACATACGCTGCCAGTTGGCCAGCAGGTCCTCCTCAGAGCTGGCGGAGCTGGCAAAGGCGCTCGGGATTTGGGGAGGGCTGCTGAATGGGCTACTCTGGGAAGAGCCGTGAGCCCTGGCTGCTTTGGGGGACTGCTGACAGGAACAGCTAGAGGCCGAACGGCGCCTTTCTGAAGCAGGGCTGTTGGGGACTGTCCGGTGCCTGTCGCAGCTCTCATCTTCGCTCTGTACCAGGCTGAGGGAGATGGCCTGGCGTGTAGCATAGGTACAGTTGGGCAGGGGGCTGTTCTTTGGGATCCTTACCTTGTCCTCAGAGAACTCAATCACTTTGCGCCCAGGGTACATAGGATGGGGAGGTGAGGGTGTAGGGTATGGGCTTAGCTTCTCAAAGGCAGGCACCTCCTCTGGCACGCTTTCCACACTGCTCTGCGGCTTGCAGCCACCATTCTGCTGTTTCCCCACATCTCCTCCCTCCTTCCCCATCTGCCCTGCACTGTTGCAGGCATCAGGAGGGGCTCCACTCATGTCCACATGCACAAAGACATCCTCAGCCATGGGACAGCTGCCGCTGCTAGACTTGGCTGAATTCAGAACCAGAGATTCTGGTTTCTCCAAGACTCTGGCAATGACTGACGTGGGCACAACATCAGATGGAGCCAAGGTGTGGGTTGCCTCTTGACCAGGGCCTGCAGACTCCTGAGTGCTGTGCAAATGCTTATTGACCATGTCCTGCAGCTCATAGGGAAGCTAGGGAGAAGGAAAAGGACATTAGAAGGGGGCTGCCACGCAAGTAATTTAGTTGCAAATAATCTGCCTTTTCCAAACGACCTTCATGTGTACTTTGTACCCCTTATCTTGACCCTAACATTCACCTACCTTGCCTTGAGAAAGGTATCTCTTTCTAAAGCAAGCCTGCCCCATGAGGGACTAACAACGCGCTCTAGCTGTCACACCAGTCATGTTTCTAGGCCATGATTCACAGGCCCCATTTTGCAAAGAAAACAAGAAAAGATGGTACACAGGCTCAGTCCCCCATGCCTGTGAGCACAGAGTCAAGGCCCAGCCAGCACATGATAGGAAGGGGTCTATTGATCTGTGGAAAATCAGCCGGTGGTTGCACTGAAGTGACTCAACAGCCTCCAGTGCTGGGATCTGCGGTGCTCCCCGAATATAGTAATTGCAGCCACGCTGCCTTGGCAGCCTGCCCGCAGGCTAGAATCGATGCCTTCCCTTGTTCCCACCAACTCCACCACCTCATCCCACTTCCTCACTCTCTCCATTTCAGAGAGGCAAACATGGGGTTTATTACCAAAGCTGCAGGACTGGGATCTCAACAGAGGGTAAGCACTGCTCCTTGTCCTACAGATGGGCACTACTGCTCACCCCATCACCCTGCCAAGCTGCCCCTCACCTTGGTCACCACACCCATGCTGAGCATGAAGTGGAGAGCAGAGCTCCACAAGCCAGTCAGTAGCACAGCAAGGTCCCATCACAGCCAGAGGAAAGCTGCGTCCAAAGCCGGGGAGGCAGGGCACACAGCATGGCAACAGCTGGCTGAGAGGCAGACTGTCTGCACAGCTGCTCAGCACCAACCCCCCTCCAGTGGCAGCCACGTGGGACACGGCGCTCTGGGGGGCAGAATTCAAAGCTCCAGGGAGGGGAGACAGCTGGGAGAGAGGTCAAGGTTACCCCAGCAGTAACTGATACACTGACCTCAAAGAGTGCTAATTTGAGACACAATGGGGGAGGGGGAGGGTGACATATTGGTGACCTGCTAAGTTAAAAAAGACAAGCACATGGTTTTGCTGAGAGGAACATAAGAAGGGATGGAGACTAGGGGTACGGCAAAGAGAGAGCTGGGGTAAGGGCCTGAATTATACTTCCAACCAAAGAAGTGATGCTACTAATATGAAAGGCCTAAACCCTGTCTTTGCCCAACCTGAGGGCAGGATGAGCTGAACAGACCCCACAAGGGGGAATATGAGTTGGTACCATCTTATCCCATTCAGGAGGCCTAAAAGACACCCTGAATGCTGCCTCCCACATTTCTCTTCAGAGCAAGTAGTGAAGCAGGGCCAGACTACTGCTGCTTGACTCCTTATCAGGCAGCGTGGCCCTTCCATGTCGCCAGGTGAGGAAGGGAAGAGGACAGAGTAAGAGCGACGTCTGTCCTCCTGCCAGCTCCCATCAGGCACCCAGCAGGCTATCAAATTCAAGGTTATTGTGCTTTTTATAACGGCTCCTGGCTGAGCTGTGAAATGGAGCTGGTGTGAAAGAGGAGCTGGCAGAGGCTCTGTGCTGCCTTCTCAGTGGGAGTGGGAACAGGAGCTCCCCCACACCTCTATCTGAGGCTGAAGGATGAAAGGCCAACAGCCCTGCAGAGAAAGCTGGAGAAAGCAAGATGCAGGCAGAGACCATTAGCCCTTCTTCCCCACCTCAACAGGACTGCTACTCACATCAGCAAACTTGTGGTTCCTGAAGTGGGACTTGTTACACTTGAGCAGCTGTACTGCAAGGTTACAGTCCTGTCGATAGCGTTCCTGCAAGAAAGGGCACAGGTGTGCAACAGTGTCAGACTGGCCTGATCTCTTACCCACAAAGGTGCCACCTGACCAGATGCTGCTTCAACAGAAGCAGGAGGCGGCACCTAATGAACTGCTCATGAGGGCACCTGCCATTCCCTCCTCTCCACACCCCTATGTATTTTCTTATAACTCAGCCAAGGTGTCCCTTTCAACTCCAGCCCTTGCTCCAGACATATACTCCGTCAGTGTATCACCCCCTTCTCCCTCTGGGGATTTTAATAACCTCCAGAAGTCCCACCAGATTTGCTATCCCATCCCAGAGCTCTCAGCCATGCCTGAAGACACTGCCTGATGTCAGGCATCTTGCAGACAGACAGACAGACTGGAGGGAGCTGAAAGCAGTTAATAGAAACAAGCACCAGATCCAGGAACTTCTATATTAATGGTGTAGAAAAGGCATTAGTTGCCTCCCAGCTCCAGAGTAAATGACCCACCCCCGTTGGTACAGCCTGGATTCAGGTCAAACCCTAAGCTCAAAAGAGCAAATATATCAAACTTGAAGATCAGTTCTTCCTTGCTCAACCCCTCAGACCCTTTTCTGTTTGTCTATCCCCACTGTTGTGTGCTGTTCCAACACTTTCATACACACTGAAGTCATTCATATGTTCCTTTATACTAATGACTTTGAACAAGAGGAAAAGCCCACACCTCACACACTTCCACAGCCATTTGCAGACTGACACTTACATTGAGTTCCTCCAGCTTATTGATGGTGGTTTTGGCATCAAGCAATTTATTAGTGAGCTCTACAATCTCCCAGTCCAGCGTCTTGCGGTCCATCTCTGCCTTTTTAATCTGGGATGCAAGAACACCAGGTGTAAATCTCCCCAGCACAGAAGAACAGAGGCTTTACCACCCACCTCAGCCCAAGCATAGCACAATGACATGTTCAGCTGGGATACAAACATTTCCAGACAGACAAACAAGGGGGATAGCCTGGCTCTTCACCAAGGGAGGGACTCCAAAGCCTAATGGAGCCAGCCACTCTGCTAGAGACAACAGGCTGAGTTTGAACCTCCTTAACGCAGTATCTCTTCTTGCAGCATGACCATGTTTCTTCTCTGCCCTGGTTCACATGCTGCCTGGTGGAAAGCTAATGTGTCGAGCAGTCAATCCCACCCTGCCACCAGCAGCAAAGACCTCTGAGCTTGTGATACCTAGTCCTCTTCTCTAGGGCAACAGAACGAGAATACTGCCCATAAAGATCCAGCAGTCAATGCTGAATGGACAAAAGGTTTGTTTGGCAGAGAGAGGGCACCATCTTGAAAGAGCTCAAGCCTTATTCTAGTAAGAAAAAGAACCTGTGCAGATTCATATGGAGCTTAGTTAATGCCTTTGCTAAAGCAGGCAATCTTGCCTCTTCACACTCCCTAACAGTTCAGGTACAGGGCTGATAGAGACCCAGATGTTACAGCAGAGAGGGGCAACAGCTCAGAACAACCAAGCCATCCTCTTCTCAAGAAGTTCCTCCAACACTTCCCCAAGCTGCTCTGAGGCTGTGACCACCAGGGCCCAGCTGTGCATCAGGGGTACAGCACAGCAACACACAAAGGGGTAGGGGAGGGCAATGCTTCTCACATATGCAGTCTCTTCAGCACAATGAATATTAACCCAAGAAATTCAAGTGCTAGAACCAAAAAAATCTCATCCTGGGCTACATGGAGGCAATCAGCATCTCAGCTGTTTGACCTGCTTGCTCACAGCCCAGAAGGGGAACGAAAGGGAGCAAACATGGCTCACAGCCACCCACATCTTGTCTTGTGCAGTGCCACAGCTTATGGGCACCACTTCCCAGCACGCCATGCTCCAGCTGGCTCAGAGTCAAACACTCTTAAGATGGAGCACAGCAAGCTAGGACCTGCTGCATCTGCGGGCAGCTGCTGGATACCAGGTGAGCCCTTGGTTGGACGAGGGCTGGGGCCCCTCCATCTGGGATGGTATATGTGGGACTGACAATGAAACCAACAGGCTGAGACACGTAAAGAGGAAAAAGAAAAAACACACAAACGAAAAGACGCAACTGCAAAAATCCAGCTTTGGCTGAGAGAGGCCTGAGAGGTGAGTGCACCCAGCGTGTGCCAGCAGCAGCATGGGGAGGAGAAAGAGAGAGAGAGGGGGAGGGAGAGAAAAGAAACAGCCATGAGTGTTATGAATGCACACAACAGACATACATGCACATTGGCTCTGCTCTGACTGTCCCCGTCCTCCCAGGATGACCACCCCAAGACTGGCTGACACATCCCTGGCATTTTGAGAGGGACTGAAGCAACATGACGGAATACCATGCAATTATGTTGTGGGGAACCAAAGCTCACGTGCATGACCAAGTAGGGGCTCAGTAAGTCAAGAAACCAGTTCATGACAGCCGCAATGGGGAGTAGATGGTCATGGCCAGAATCTCACCCCTCCCCCACTGCCACATCTGCTGGGTGAAGCCAGGACCCCTTCCTCCATCTGTTCCTAACACACAGGTGTCTTCCACCTCCTCTCTGTAGTGTCTTAATAGGGCACTTACCAAGGCATGCAGCTTCTCCTCCAGGTCTTGGTTGGTTCTCTGGGAAGCAGTGTAGCTGTTCTGCAACCTACAGAAACAAGATATACATAGGAATAGATATCAGGCACCTACTCAAGTCCCATTCATAGCTGCCAAGCAAACCACCAACTCCACAACTCCAGAAAGACTGGTATTCACAGTACTAAGACAACCAGGCGTATTAACTATGCCTCACCTCTGCCACATAATGGCCTTCAGACCCAAGTTACTGGAGGCACGATGAGGTTGGCTGGGTGAAAGGATCTTGCAGGGGAGGGTGTGAATGACTTTGGAGGACTCCTCTGAGCTATGTCATGTCTAAGCATGTGACCAGTGACTGCCATTGATTTTTAACTGAGGAACTTTTCAGGTAAAGTGGTGATGTCTTTTATTGCAGCCATCAGTGGCTCCTTTTGCACACGTGGGGTAACCATCCAAGCTGGATCCTGTCTTACACCCAACAGATGAAGAATTCCCTGTTGCTGTCAGCCCCTCGCGCTGGCAGCGTTCCTACACTGTACCCTGGAGGAAGTAATGGCTGCAGAGCCTTTAACTCCTCTACAGCCTGGGGGTGCACCCTTCTGAAGATGCAGCAAGCCTTTGATTTACACAACAGGGCACAGCCTGCTCACGCCAGCTGAGGCAGTCCTTGGTGGGAGGGATCTCTCTAACTCTACCCCTCTCATTTTCTTTTTCATACCTACGGAATTTGTCCTTGAATTTCTCCAGCTCCTCACGGTTCTGGCCCAGCTCCATCTCCAGGTAGTCCTGACCTGACTCCAGCTCCCTCTCCATCGCCTCCATTTTGTTAGTCACATATGTCAGCCGTCGGCGCAGCTCCTCATTCTCATGTTGCAGTAGCCTGAGGCACACAGGAACGAGGTACCACTGAGTGCACAAGGGGTACTACTCCACACCAGCACCTCCACTCCACTGCCCTGCTCTAGGGCCCAGACCCCACACAGGGGCCCCAGGACGTCAGGAACTGAACTGGCAGGAGACTCCAGCACATGCAGCAAGAGGTGCATCTCTGGCAGGAGAGGGACACTCAAACTCTCTTGGAGCAGGGGCAAAAAAAGCACATGCCAGCTGGCCAGCCACGGCTCCCAGCTCCTTCTCATGTTACAGTGCTTGGATAAAGCCCACTAGCCAGATGAGCTGCACAGCTCCAGTGTCCCTCACTGGTGAATGAAACCTACTCAATAATTTATCCCAGTCCAGGTTAGAAGAGTTGAAGGCAAAAAGAGTAAAATCATCTTCGCCTCCCCTGAAACTATTCAAAAGCCCTCACACCTTTAATATATGGTGGAAACAGAACTCCATACAGCCTTAAGCCCAGAAGCAGAGGTGGTGGGGTGCATTTACAGATGTGATCACAGCTGCCAGTCAACCCCATTCCAACACAAACGACCCCATTCCTCCCCAGCCAGGACATGCCTGGTGGTCAGAAGGATTTCCTGTTGGTTTTCATTCCTTTGTGCTCAGTTGCTCAGAGAAACCCAGAAGCACGGCTTCTCTCTGGCAGGGCAAGCTTTCTCCTCACTATGGCCTGGAGCTCAGTGCTAGCAGCTGTCTGTGCCCCACACCACCACCACCACAGAGCTCAGCTCTCACCCTCAGTCAGCAGCAGGCCTCTGCAAACTGCTTCTGGTGGCTTACACCAAAACAGTGGCAACAAGAAGGGTTAAAAAAGGCACTCCTCTCTCCACCTGTATTAAAGACTTCATCTCCTACTTTCTTTCACACCCACCAACTCCTCTGCCTGCACCTGCACTGGGGGTCTATGTTCCCTACCCCTCCAGGGCAAGAGACATGCAAGGCAGAGGCTGGCAAAGCACAGACTAAAGCTCTGCCCACATGGCCCCAAGAAGATTGAAGATCTGAGAGGAGCCCGCAGGGCCAGTCAGCTTCGCTGTGCAGGTGGCACAGGCAGGATGTGAGGAATCAGCACCCACACAGTTGCAGTATGACAGGAATAAAGGGGGAGCAGGACACTTACTTCATTCTTTCTGCATCCGTCAAGGGTTCCTGCACAGGGAAGAAAACAGCTGTGAGATTCTTTCAAAGGAGGAGTTGGTCTCTCACACTGTCCTAACGGGCAGAGTCTTGGTTGCTAGACCCCACCTGTGTGTTCTGGTTCAGGGTAGAAGAGCTAGACTAGAAACCACCACACAAGTTTGGTAACTTTACCCTCCCACGGTGCAATCTCAGTATCTCTTGTAACATCATCACCTTAGCTGGCGTTTCAGCTTCCTCCACATCCACAGTTAGTGGGTTGCAGGAATCTCACAAGCCAGCATACACCGAGGATTAAATTGTCACCACAGCAATCACAACACCCTTGAAGCCCCACAAAAAGAATGAGAGAGAATCATTTGGGAGCTGAAAAATGTGTCTACCATTTACACCACCCAGATTGTGCTGTGAAAAGGATTTCTTTCTGCAGACCTGAAACCAGCCACTGTAACTATTCTGGGATAGCAGAAGAAACACCAAAGGTCAGAAAAGCCTGTGAAAGAAATTAATGTTCTGGGCAAGATCCCCAGAGATGGCTGGAGCAGGGACCTGCAGAACAAGGAGACACAGCGCAGCAACAAGAGCGCACAGCTCAGCTATTCTCATTTCCTTTGCACTCTGTGTTAACCCGTGAGATGGCTGCTGCCTGCCAGCACAGCTGGGAGAGATTTAATTAGCACTAGAAGCAACCGTATTTTCTGTGAAAGCCCAAGACTGTGACCATTCTCACGAAGTCAAAGCTGCCCATGGATTATTTTTGGTGCTCGGTACCAACAGCACTGCACAAACCATTGTCCATTAAGTGCCACAGCCAGTTCTGGGCTGAGAGGCCATGTCACAGACAGTTGTGGATGAGGTTGTTGAGCTGCTAGCAATATTACAGAAGGCAAACCACCTCAGTCCTGGCCCTAATACATCATGGGGCTGCTTCCTTCATCAATTCACACTTTAAAAGAATGGTCCTTACCACCTGCATACATCCTCCTGTCCCTAAAGGCAAAGCATCAATCAATCCATTCTTTTCTTACATTCTGACCCCACATGGCAATCAGTTAATTCATGAAGAATTATCTAGCAACTGCCTCCCCTATCCCCATAAATACACACAGAGCAGATGCTAGCAACCAGGCAAAGGGGATAATGTGATTCCTATTAAAATAAGGCGATGGCCCCAAAGCAGGCTGGAGAAAAGAGAAGGCTTACAAAGACCTGAAACAGCCATCATACAAAGATCCAGTACCTCAAGACAGCCAGGCAGAGGGCACACGCAAAGCGCTGGGAACATCCCAACACCTCCTGTCAAAAGAGCCGCCTGCCTTCTGCGCACGCCTGCTGCCCCACAGCCTCGAGGGCCTCCAACCTGCAAACACCTGGGAGGTCTGCAGTGGGGAGAACAGCACCAGCTCCTGCCTTCCTAACTCCTGGGGCCAAAGGGAAGCTGGTTCCTCCCAGGAAGATATACCCAATCTGGAGTACAGCCATGAGTAGCAACCCACAAAAGAGCAGCTTCTGATGATCAAGCACCCACAACATGAGGTCTGGGAGCCTGCTCTCACTCTCCCCACTGGCACTGCAGACTAGATGAGATCCAGGTGGGGGCTTTGGCCTTTGTGAGACCCCTGCCTGCGAGCCGGTGGCCCTGGCACCTACCTTGTTTAATGCCAGGCTGAAGGAAGGGGAGGATCTAGGTGGGGTAGGCCCCTCCTCCCGACTCCAGCGTGTTGGAGTGGAGAAGGATCCTTTCTCAGGGTAGTTCGGCTCCATTGCACGCTTCTGCCCAAGTTTAGCACAGAGATGCTGTGGCTGTAATAGCCGTGAACAGGGACTGCTTTCATCCCTTCTGCCCTCTGCACTGCTTTTCCATGAAGACAGTGAGTGCTGTTGCCCAGAGGATGTCCCTGCCAGCCCCAGGTCTGCCAGCTGCTGCAGCTCATACTGACAAAGATCTACTACCCTTCTCTCCAAGGAAAGGAGTTTTTCCTTACTGTCCTTCCTCCCAAGGACAAATTTCTTTCTTAGTCTGGAAGCTCTCTCAGCCTCCTCAGCACACTTTCTCTGGCACGAAGCCATTCCCAGCCCCTCACATTTCTTTTCTGCTTTTCTTCTGCTTGGGCAGGGGGATCTTTCAGTTGCATGCTTGGTTTTGACCCCTTGCAGGTGACCTTCCCCTTGGCCTTCTGGCACGGAGCTTCTGGGGAAAAGGGGAGAGTTCTGGTCTTGTTCTACTCCCCAGGTCTCTCCCAGTGAGCGCAAACGGATGGGACTCAGCACCCGCTGGGTAATCTCATCCAAGAATTTGGAGAACTGCAGTTTCTCCTCTGTAATCTTCTCCCTGCGCTTGACAGAGTCAGCGGCACTGCTGCTGCTGTGCTCCAGTGAGCACTTCTCTGTATGGCTGAGGCAGAGCTGAGGATCACTGTACTTGCGTGAGCCACGGCCACGGGAAAGTGTCTCTACTGAGCGGGACTTGCGTAAGCTCTCAGGGCATGGGCCTGTCATGTTGGTCTGCTTCAGGATCCCTTTGAGAGGCAGGTGTGTAGAGGAGACCCGAAACTTCCTCGGTGTCAGGACTTCAGGAGGCTCTTTAAACATAAGCGAGCGTTCCAGGCTTCTGCTCTTGAAAGAGCAAGTGGGATGGTGTCTTTCATCCCCAGACACCACAACCGTCTCCATGCTATGGCTCACAAATTTGCTGAGGTGCCCACGACTGCGGTTTGGGCACTGCTTCCCACTTTGCTGCCCCATCTTCCCACCACGTGGAAGTGCTGGTGAGACAGTCTGGCTCTTGATGTTCCACTCTGCTCTGCACCCTGTCACTTCCTTCTCACTGCTGGACTCCAGGGACCACGATGAGGAGAAGTTCAGGTTGCAAACCTCAAACCCCTCTGCCTGCTTGAGCTGGCCTGCCTCGGTGTAACTAAACCCTGTTTCCTGGTGCAATGGTGTTACGCCCTTTGCCACCCGGCAAGCCGTTACCTGACTCTGCTCAGCCAAGATCACTCCATCCTGGTCATCACGAATGATGGGTACCTCATGGCGGATCTCGCGATGCTGCGGGGGTGCCTTGCGGTAAGGCTTCTTTGATGGAGCTGTGCTTGACATCCTCCCACCTGCGTGGCTCTGAAAGCGGCGTACCTACTAACAGCAGAAAGTGCACAGAAGAGAGAGTCACGGGCGCTC